CCTTTATCATGTCCATCTTTGCACAAAATGTTCCTTTAATATCTCCAATTTTCTTGACCAGATCTCTGATTTTTCCCTTTCTATTATTTTCCTCTACTGTATATCTTTGCACTGTTCATTTAAGAAGGCCCTGACTATATAGAGCTTCTCCATCTTTGGCTGCAGAGAACATAATCAATCTGATTATGGTATTGCCCATCTGGTGATGTCCATGTGTAGAGTTGCCTCTTGTGTTGATGGAAAAGAGTGTTTGTGATGACCAGCTTGTTCTCTTAAGAAAACTCTATTAGCCTTTGCCCTGCTTTGTTTTGAACCCCAAGGCCAAACTTACCTGTTCTTTTTATCTCTTGACTCCCTACTTTAGCATTCCAGTCCCCTAGAATGAGAAGAATATCTTTCTTTGGTGTCAGTTCTAGAAGGTGTTGTAAGTGTTCATAGAATTGGTCAATTTCAGTCTCCTCAGCAATGGAGGTTGGTGCATAAACTTGGATTATTGTGATGTTGAAAGGTCTGCCTTGGATACGTATTGACATCATTCTATCATTTTTGAGATTATATCCCACTACAGCTTTTCCCACTCTTTTGTTGATTATGAGGGCTACTCTATTTCTACTATGGGGTTCTTGCCCACAATAGTAGATACGATAACTGTCTGAATTGAATTTGCATATTCCCATCCATTTTAGTTCACCGACACCCAGGATGTCAATATTCTTGCCATCTCCTGTCTGGCCACATCCAGCTTCCCAAGGTTCATAGATGTTACATTCCAGGTTCCTATACAGTATTTTTCTTTGCAGCATCAGACCTCCCTTTCACTTCCAGGCGCGTCCACTGCTGAGTATCCTTTCGGCTTTGGACCAACCACTTAATTAGCTCTGGAGCTACTTTTACTTGTCCTCCGCTCTTCCTCAGTAGCTTGTTGGACGCTTTCCAACCAGAGGGGCCCATCTTCCAGTGTCATATCTTTTAGTCTTTTGTTTCTGTTCATGGAGTTTCTTGGTAAAGACACTAGAGTGGCTTGCCAGTTCCTGCTCCAGGTGGATCGCGTTTAGTCAAAAGTCTCCACTATGACCTGTGCATCTTGGGTGTCTCTGTATGGCATAGCCCATCGCTTCTCTGAATTATTCAAGCCCTTACGCCACGACAAGGCAGCAAGCAGTGAAGGTCACTCTACTACTGGCCAAAAGGTTGCTGGGTCAAAGTGGGGAAGGCTCTTATTTGTAAAACAAGTGAATTTTAACCAGTCATGCTGTGGCTGAAATCCTGCTGCTTAGCATAGTTAGTCACAGTAGGGTAGGCCTACTGAATCAATAAGGGATTTGGTCAGTCAACTCCTGTGCAAGGTCCACTAATTCAAATGGGCCTGCTTTACTTGCTACTTACTAAACTCTAATTTATTTGTGTGGGTCTAAACAAAGATAATGGTTTCTTCTCTCTTATTTATTTATTTTATTTTATTTATTTCCCGTCTATCTGGTCGGTTAAGAACACTCTAGGCAGCTTACAGCAAAAACACACGGAAATATATATATATACATATAAAGTTTCTACATGGTAAAACACATTTCACAAGATGGAAGCAAATGATGGGAAGAGGAAGGGAAGAAAGCATCAGGAATTGACTGGAAGGAAGGCCTGCCAAAACATCCATGTTTTTAATTGATTTTTAATTTATTCAGCCATGCTAAAAGGATTGCTTCATGGCTACTGGTCTTGTAAATTTTCAATTCTGCATAAACTTCTGATCAAATTTTCACAACAGCAAGTTTTTGCATTTCATTCCTCTGCTACCTATTTGCAGTTCTTCTCCATATATTCATGTGGGTATTGATCTGCCAGTTGAAAACAACACATTGAATAAAGTAGATTAATTGGCAAAAGTTTATGCCATAACAAATGTGTTAATGTTAGGATACATTTTAGGCAAGATCTAATACGGTCTTTCTACTGACCCTTCTCAGGGTCACTACTTCCATTTGTGGAACTGGGATAGAACAATTTAATCCCATCCTCATCCAATATTTGGTGTGGTCTGGAAATTCTCCCCAATTTAAAAAAGCAGCCTGTCATGCAGAATGTCAACCTGCTTTTTGAAATAGGGCTCCTGCTGCAACAAGCCAGGAAGAAGCCTAGCATATAAAATCCATTTCAACCAGTTCTTTTGATTCAGGGCAGCGAAACCGAAGTAGTTCCTACACATGCCTTTCAGTTCCATCTTCATACAGCTCCATCACACAGTAAGATGAAGCAAAGCTAGGCTTGCAACAAAACATACATTGAACATATATGTTCATATACTGAGCCTCGTGGCACAGTGGTTAAACTGCTGTACTGCAGCCAAAACTCTGCTCACGGTCCAGGGTTCAATCCCAGGTAGCCAACTCAAGGTTGACTCAGCCTTCTATCCTTCCAAGGTTGGTAAAATGAGTACCCAGCATAATTGTAAACCTCTCAGAGAGTGCTTCAAGTGCTGTGGGGCAGTATATAAGCAGCACATTTTGTTTTTTGTTTTAAAAAGCAAGCTTCAATCTCCAGTCCTAAAGAGTATACATCTATGGGCATTTGTACACACAATGCACCTAAAGATACGATGTATGAAACAATATACAGTACACATTCACACAAAAGATAGTCCATTAATATTCTCAAGAGTTATTCGTACATGTTGGGTTCCTATATTTCCTCACTGAATCAACTGTAGTCTAATAAATGGACTAGGTCAACTGAAAAGCACCAGCTGCAAAGCATTCAATGTATCAATTGTTTCATGTATGCAAACTATCATGTAATGAACATGCATTCATCCATTTTTTTATATTAAGCATCAGACATAGATACCACAGAGAAAACAGTGCCAGTTAAATCAAGGAACAAACAATGTAGGTAATTTAAGGTTAGATCAAGATACATAACTTGTGGCAGAAGGATGTGCATTAGTAGCTTTTCCTGATCATCGTTCGCTATGAGGTA